CCCTTGCACCCCTAACGCTTTAGAAAAAAACCCAGGGGTGTTCAAACTTGACAGCTTTAAGACTTTAAGGTTTAAATAAGACTCTTAGAGGTGGGCGGGGCGATTGGTGAGCCAGCCAATCAGTGAGCGGCGGTGGGACAAGCGTGGTGCAGATGGACCGGGGGAGGGAGCTGGAACCGGTTCTAAATGGCACGGTAGATTTGTGGAGCCTCTTCTATAGAAGAGGTTAGAACTGGCAGGAACCCACCCCTGCTCGAGTCTACTGGAAAATTTACTGCTTTTTCTTTTCTTTCAGCATCCAGTCACAGTAGATTCTATGTTAAATGTTAAATTTAATTGATCACTTTTCCTCTTTTTGCACACTATTTTTTTTGTCACTGAATGTATGCTTTTGTTTTGTTTCATTTTGTTTTACTGTTTTGTATTTTATTTTTTATGATAAAATAATATTAAAAATGAATAAATCCTTGAAATATTAAAAATAAAATCATATACATCCCACTGTCATACACCATAATTGTTGTATCTCAACAACATAAAAGGGATGGCCTTGATATGAATTTATTAACATCTGTTGCATTACAATCCTGGGTTACAGATTGCATTAACACAAGAAGCCAAATATTTGACATTATTTTCTGTTGAATTATCCAGTAAGCAGCATATATAAAACATGTACACAATGATATCTCTCCCTCATTTCACCTCTTGATCAGAAAACATCTAATTTGGCAAAGATCATTTTTCAAACTTAACTGACCCAGGGGCAGGGAGGATAGCTTTTGTATAACTGTATGCAGAAACATTTTGAGATAAGATGAAAACTATTTCCCTGTTTCCCTGAAAATAAGACCTCCCCAGATAATAAACTCAATCAGGTTTTTGAACCATGCACTAAAATAAGCCTTTCCCAAAAAATATTGCAACATAGCAACAGCCATGAGGTGACCACGCTCACTGTCTCCTGCCCCTCGACAATAGAAGGAAGACATCCCTGAAAATAAGACCAAGCACTTATTTTGGGGATCAAAAGAAAATAAGACCCTCTCTTATTTTTGGGGAAATACGGTAGTGACCATGGTAATCCACGAATGGTTTAGTGAAGAGAATGCCGATATAAGGGAAAACACGTATTATATTTATTAGGTGCCTTTCACCTAGTCATTATGTAAACTTCTCTACATGGTTACTATCATAGAAGAACATGAAAGAGTAACAAGATGAAATTAAATGCCG